CACAGGGCCAGCCCAACCCGGCCTGTCCCCTCCATGCCTCACACTGCGTGGGTCCTGGCCTTGCAGCGGGGAACTGCAATGCTGCTGGGGCAGGCCAGGCCAGGCTGGCTCTGTGCTGCACCGCACGATTCCCTGCTGCAAGGCCAAGACCCATGTGGCACAGAATGGAGGAAATGAGCCAGGATGGGCTGGCTGCATGCTACAATGCATGGGTCCTGGCCTTGCAGCCAGAAACTGCGTGCCACAGCTGAGCTGGGCTGGTTCTGTGCCACTCTGTGCAGTCCCCAGCCTCGCAGCTGAAACTGCATTGTACCAGGCTGTGCCAAGCTGACTCTGTGCCACACCATATGGGTCCTGGCCTTGCAGCCTGGAACTGCATGCTGTAGCCAAGATGGGATGGACAGGGCTGGCTGCCCACCATACCCCCAGCACACACTCCCTACCCTCCATAACACCACACCCTACCACAGACCCCATACACAGTCCCACACCCTCCCACCATAACCCCACACACACTCCCACCATCCCCACACACACTGACACTCCCACACACTCCTACCCCAACCACATACCCCACATCCATACTCCTCAACGTTCACCCCCACCCTCTCCCACACTCCCACCCACGCCCCAACCACACAGTCCCCACATACACCCCCTTAACCTTCCTCCACACAATATACAAGAGTAAGAGTATATTTTGAGCTATTATGCAATCGCCTCTGGATGCACTATGCAAATGCACATAAATCGCAACAAAAATATTTTTAAAAATAAAATTAAAATAAGTTGTAGTAGATGTTTGATATTTAGTATATGATTTGGTTTTTTTTCCCAGTTTCAAGATGGCAATCGCCCCCTCCCAAAAGGAGTACTTCTAGGGAAAGGGGTGGGACTTCTGGTGGCAAAGGTCAGGGGTTAGGGGCAGGACTTCCAGTCCCAAGATGGTGACCAGGAGGCAGGACAGCTGTCAGGGGGCAGGGCTACACATGCAGCTACACTTGACAGCTCACCAGCCTCATTAAGCTGTCCTCCAGCCAAAATAATTGCCCACCCCTATTGTAGCGTGTGTTTCATGAATGTAATCTCCTTGTCCTATTAGCATAGCTCTGAAGAGGAAGTAAACCATGAAAATAAAGCATCTTTAGTAAATGATTTTCATGTGTTTCCTTCCCTTCCACAGTTGGAAAAGTAAAGGGGACAGTGGGATCTGTACATCCCTGGTGTCCAAGAAATGTTGTGCCTTGATTATCCTTTGTTAGTGCTGGGGTTGCCCAGCTGAAGAACGGAGATTCAATTAATGTACAGGCCCATATCTTGGGGAGCTGTTGGATTTTCAGTTAGGATGACAGATGGAAAGAAATGAGATGCTTGTAATGAAGGTGAAATTTGTGGAACTGTCAATTTAGACAAGTCTCCCTATAAATAATAAAGGAAGCAGCAAATTGAATCACTGCATTGCGTCTAGTTAGGCTTAGCCTCATTGTAGGAACTTTGAGAGATGGCCTCTGGGAAGTGACAGTAACATGTACAAGTAGCTAAGTATTTTAGTCTAGAATCATGGAGTATTGTCGGCATAGAATTTAAGTAATTCTGAACCAATAACCATTTTTCTGTAAAATATTTTTCTCATAGTTTGTTATTCATGGTTATAGTCTCTTGTAAAAAAATTAGTTTGGGTTTAAATGGTTTTAATTATGAGTGCAATAAACACCTATATATAACGTGTTTTTGTTAAATATTGGGTGTAGGCTGTTAAAGCAGAAGTGCATGCACATGTGAGACTTGAAATAGCTCTACTAGTCATGAACATGGAGCACACTTAGGAATAATAGGAATAATACTGATTTGCAAACACTGAAGATGATGGGTAAACGAAGGTATTATTTTCACTTTCTAATTGGAGAAAATAAAAACATAAAATGAACTTGCCAAAGACCACAGACTTACCTTTGGTAAAAATGGATATGAAATCAGGTTGTTTGATTTCTATAACCACAATAATGTCTTGTAATAAAGTAGTGTCCCTCCAGTACTTAGGTAGGTAGCAATATTCATTTCAGAATTCATTTAACATTTCTTACATCATAGGGCTTTAGTGAAGTTTTGTGGCAAAGATTTTAAAAAGAGCAGATGGTAGTTACACTTTTAAATAGTAGGGGTGCACCAATAAAGAGTTTCTTAGCTAACACCGATGGCTGTTTGTTTACTAGCCATATTGATCAATACCAATTTATAGGAATGCAGCCCAGCAGTTTGACAAGTCCTGTCTGGCCAGTAAGTCTGTGGGGAGGTAGATGGGTGGGGGGGGAAGAAGAGGTATATGGGGTGCAGATCAAAGCCTCCACAGTGAGGGAGGGAGTGGGGCTGGGGCTGTGGCTAGGGCAGGTGGTGCCTAGCCAGGACAGTGAATGCAACCCTGGGAGTGAAATGGAGCTGCAGGTGGCTCGTTTTGGGGGGGGGCAGTGTCTCCCTGCCACTGCATGCACGCCAGGGGCTGCATGGGAGCTTGTGCCGCTGCTGCACCCCCCCCGCACCCCTGCCGCCCCCCCCCGATTTGTGCACAGGGCTTGGGGCCAGGAGCTGCGCTGGCTTCTTCCTGGTGGCGGGGCTGGGGCTGGGATTCAAGTGGGTGGGGACGGGGCAGGTAACAGCAGCAATGGGAGGGGTGTCTACAGGGAATTTTGGAGTGGCTGTAGCCACCCCTGCAAGCGCTGCTGCTGCCCACCCCACCTACTTGCAGCTCACCTTTGCCCATGCACAAATCGGGGAGGGGGGGCAAATGCCCCCTGTGCCTCCCCTGGGGGACACGCAGCAGCAGGGAATCTCCCCCCCATGCCCTCCAGACGAGCTGTCCATGGCTCCATCCCACTCCCGACCCCGGGGTTGCATTCAGTGCCCTGGCTGGGCAACATCTGATCTGCCTTGATCTGCCCCCCACACACCCCTTCCCCCCACAGACTTACCAGCTGGACGCTGCTCTCCAAGTTGCCCAGCTGCATTCCTGGCCACATGCATGCTGCGGCTGTGAGCATGCATGCAACATTTATTGGTGACATTATCAGCTATGGCAGCCAAAAAAGCCAATTGCTGATGATGCTAATTTTCCTTTTATCGGTGACAATCCTGTGCGACTGATATATTGGTGCACCTCCATTTAAATAGGAATTCCTTTTTAGGCATGGTGAGCTCCCGCTCATTTGACTGGCTGTGCGTGCTCAAAATCCTTAATCACTTAGGACCTGATCCAGTGCCCATTTCTGTTAATGTTTTTTTCCATATCCCTTGAATCAAGCTTAAATACGGGTTTTGGAAATTGACATGAATCTTGCACTAAAAAAAACAAAAACTTGTCAGCTCCAGGAAAATTGAGGTGGGGTTTGTCAGTAAGTGTTGGGTTTGAGGGGTTTTGGAATTTGTTGTTTGTCTTAATGTATCTTTATAAAGAAAACCCTATTATCACTGATGTGCTAATCCTAATATTTTACAGGTTTATGGAACCAGCTGTTATTGTTTGCCTAGGTGGCATCCTCCCTTTTGGATCAATTTTCATTGAAATGTGAGTTTAAGTTGACTATTGCTAATAAATATGCTTGATATTTTCAGACTGCTAATAGTTGCAATTTATAATCTGCATATTTGATTCATTTAGGTATTTCATTTTCACATCATTTTGGGCTTACAAGATCTACTATGTTTACGGCTTCATGATGTTGGTGTTGGTTATTCTCTGCATTGTGACAGTCTGCGTGACTATTGTATGCACCTACTTCCTGCTAAATGCAGAGGATTATAGGTGGTAAGTGCCTTCTTTGTTCATAGTTGACTCAATGATGCACTATCCTAGTATTGAAATGGAAATTGACAAGATATTTTTTCCTATTCTAAGCAAGTTTCTGAAAGTTCCTGCTAGCTTTCTTAATGTATCTTATAAGCAGCTAGACTTTTACATTAGAGGTTGAAGGAAGGCAGAATTTATGTGGTAAAAATGTCTGTTATTCAACTACATGGCTGAGGATATAGCACACTATTTTGGCATGAAAGTAATGAGTAATTCCCTGGAAGGTTGCTTTTTTCAAATGAATCAAAATATTTTATTGAGTAGATTTTCTTCTTTTGTAGGTTTTCCTCATGCGCCATGCATTTTTTGTCAGTCAGTATTAGTTTGTGTGTTGATACACTTGTATGTTTTTTTCAGGCAGTGGACAAGCTTTCTTTCTGCTGCATCAACGGCAATCTATGTTTACATGTATTCCTTTTACTACTACTTTTTCAAGACAAAGTAAGTGGTGGTTATCATAAATGTTTAATTCGTAAATTAGGAAGGCCTTTGACACTGTCTCTCACCCCATTCTCGTTAAAAAATTAGGCGACTGTGGTGATGATGCTTACACAGTCAGATGGGTCGCCATTTGGCTGGAGGGCTGCACCCAGAGAGTGGTGGTGGACGGGTCATTTTCGACCTGGAGGGATGTGGGCAGTGGGGTCCCCCAGGGCTCGGTCCTTGGGCCCAAACTGTTCAACATCTTCATCAGCGACTTGGATGAGGGGGTGAAAAGCACCTTGTTCAGATTCACAGATGACACTAAGATGTGGGGAGAGGTGAGCACGTTAGAAGGGAGGGACAGGCTGCAATTGGATCTGGACAGGTTACAGGGATGAGAAGATGAGAATGGGATGGGATTCAACACTGACAAGTGTAAGATACTGTACCTAGGGGAGGAAGAACCAGCAGCATACCTACAGGCTGGGGAACTCCCTTCTCATCAGCACAGAGGCAAAAAAGGATCTTGGAGTCATTATTGATTCCAAGATGAAAATGGGCTGCCAATGTGAGGACGCGGTCAATAAGGCTAACTGCACCTTGTCATGCATCCACAGATGCACCACAAGCAGGTCCAAGGAGGTGATCCTCCCCTCTGTGCGACATTGGTCAGGCTGCAGTTGGAGTACTGTGTCCAGTTCTGGGCACCACGCTTCAGGAGGGATGTGGACAGCACTGAGAGAGTCCAGAGGAGGGCTCCTTGCGTGGTCAGGGGGCAACAGGGCAGGCCCTACGAGAAGAGGCTAAGGGACCTGAACCTGTTCAGTCTCCACAAGAGAAGGCTGAGAGGGGATCTGGTAGCCATCTGTAAACTTACCAAGGGGGACCAGCAGGGAATGGGAGAGTCCCTGTTTCCCCGAGCACTACCAGGAGTAACTAGGAATAATGGCCACAAGTTGGTTGAGGGTAGGTTCAGGCAGCACTACTTCATCAGGAAGCGCTACTTCACAGTTAGGGCGGCTAGGATCTGGAACCAACTTCCAAGGGAAGTGGTGCTGGCTCCTACCTTAGAGGTCTTTAAAAGGAGGCTAGATAATTACCTAGCTGGGATCGTTTGACCCCAGCATTCTTTCCTGCCCATGGCAGGGGGTCAGACTTGATGATCTGCTCAGGTCCCTTCCGACCCTACCAACTATGAAATTAAATGCTTATAACATTTTAAGCTTGTTTTAAAATAAGTGAAATAGTGAAAAATGACCTGTGAAATAAATTGCTACCTTGTTTCATTTCAGGATGTATGGCTTATTTCAAACATCATTTTACTTTGGTTATATGGCGGTATTTAGCACAGCCTTGGGGATAATGTGTGGTAAGTTCAGAATATATTAAGAATCTGTTATATTTCAAATATCCAGGTGCTAGTATTTTCAAAATGTGATGCAAATAATTTTATTGGATGCTAAAAATATACAGCTTTAAAAACAGGCTTGTAGTCAGAGAACTAAATGTTTTCAATCATTATGACACTAGCTTAAGTAGTGTAAAGTTATACAAACTAAGTAGGTAAACATCTCCAAGGTGCTGTACAGAAACAGACACCTTGCAGCCATGCTGCAAAAATTAAACAGTGCAAAAAACGAATGTAAGGATGTATTTTTAGCATGCTTAAACTTTGTCAAATTAATTCCATAATGATAAAGAATATCACAAATAGCTTTTATTCGGCCCTTTAGTGACTTACTGTCCTCATGTTAGTGTGAGGTATTGGGGCAACAAGGCTTTTTATGCTGCGTAAGAAAGACACTGTGGAAATTGTCTCCAGGTTACCCACCAATGAAGAGCATGAGCTGCAGGCTGGAATATGAATACTAGACAAGGGGATAAGGCTCCTAACCACCTGAATGTTTTCCTACCACTCAGCTGCTGCATGCACTTGCAGCAGCCTAGCTTACATGAGACCTAGATTGTCTTTCTGGTTTTTTAGTTTTTGGAGTAATTAGGCTAGTTGTTAACATTTTCTATATAGGATAAGTTGAAACAAACATGCAGACCCTCTATTCCTAGCATGCTGAAGAGCAGGGTTTAGACATCCAAACATATAGGGCGCCTATAAATGAGTGCAGAGGCTGCTCCAACATGCTGGAATTCCGGTGTGTCAGAGGAGACTCCATTAATTGAGTCGACTGAGCATGGCAATTACCACGCATGGCAGGAACAAGCTTTAGTTCAAGCATCCCCACCGCCATTTTTAAGCACAGGGGCACTGATACAGGAGATCTGTTGGCGCTCTAATTAAAACACTGCTGCGTGTGGTGCCCCCCCGAGCACATGTAAAAGTGCCCCTAGTGCCATTAACTTGCCAGCACTCATAGCTTTGAGGGGAAGTACGTTCTCCAGGTACCTGTTTGGTCTAGGTTGCCCTCCCAAGCCATGTCTCTAAGGTATGTCCACACTGTGGCAGCACTGTCTCTCAGCCCTGAGTACCGTGATGAGTTGGTATATTTGGGAACATCATAGCTGGACCATACAGTTGCCACTGCAGTGTAGATATAGGCTAAGATAGGGGTCAGCAACCTATGGCTCACAAGTCAGATCTGGCCTGCATAGGGGATGTGGTGGCAGGGGCATGCTCTCCACCCTGTACTGTCCATTCCTCTGCCACTTACTGCCAGTCCTGTCTGCAGCTTCTAGTATCCCTACCCTGTGCCAACGGTCTTCTCACCTTGCTACCATGCTGCGCAGCTGAATTTATGGCTCCCCATCACTGTTTGCAGTGGAAAACAGTGGCAGCCATTGGCAGGGGCCAGTGGAGCACAAAGCAGGGACGGCTGTGGTGCTGTGGAGAGGATTGGCAGCCTGGGCCCTGCAATGGCTAGGTCACAAGAGACATAACACCCTTTGTAGGAAAAACTTCTTTACTGTCCGAGTCCCCAAGGTGGGACCCCAATAGACTCCCTCCAGAGGTGGTGCAAGCACCTGCTCTGGACACTTTTTAAGAAACTTTTGGATGCTTATCTTGCTGGGATCCTTTGACGCTAGCTGACTTCCTGCCTTTGGGGCAGGAGGCTGGACTCGATCTTCGGAGGTCCCTTCCAGCCCTAATGTCTATGAAATATATGAAACTGGGCTTGTTTAGTCTGCAGAAGAGAAGACTGAGGCGTGGGATTTAATAGCAGCCTTCAGCTACGTGAAGAGTGGTTCCAAAGAGGATGGTGCTAGACTGTTCTCTGTGGTGGCAGATGACAGAACAAGGAGCAATGGTCTCAAGTTGCAGCAAGGGAAGTTTAGGTTAGATATTAGGAAAATCTTTCTCATTAGGAGGATAGGAAAACACTGGAACAAGTTACCCAGAGAGGCTGTAGAATCTCCATCCTTGGAGGCTTTTAAGACCTAGCTAGACAACACCTTGACTGGGGTGATCTAGTTGGGGATGGTCCTGCTTTGAGCAGGGGGGTGGACTAGATGACTTCCTGAGGTTCCTTCTAACCCTTATTTTCTAAGTCCTCCAGAATGACATCTAACGGTTGTCACAGTTGGCTGTGATTGCTATACTGAGCCAACCATCACTACCGCCATGGGACAAATCAAGCTGTTTGCCCTGATCATGAGAAGGTTTCTCCCCAACTCTTTCAATCTCCTTCTCCCCCCTCCCCCACCACACACACATTCTTTATATTGTTTATATTTGTCTTGGCACTTGCCATTCCAGATGGCATGGATTGCTTACTTTAATGACTTCAGCCTTAGCAATGTCCTGTGCCTATTGGCAGGGGTTGAAGAAACATTTAAATATTTACAGTTGATCCATGAACATGGTGCTGTTCAGGTGTTGTTTTAGCAGATGTTTGGAGGAAAATGTAAGATACTGTTTGGAAGTTAATCTGGTAATTTGATATACTAATTCATCTCTTAGTCCTTTCCCTCGCATCTTTTTGAAAACACCAGTTTGGTTCTTTGTACAAATATGTAGATAGTTTACCCTTTTTAAAGTCTTATTTTACAATTCCGTACACATGTGACTTTTTTTACTTGTATGAATAAACTCAACAACTCTATTAGTGAGTACTTGTGAGTTAAGATACTGATAAGGTTAAGGGTTACTGATACCTGTAAGGGTTTGCAGGATCAAGCCATTGGTAGATCCTGTAGTCACCATTTATTTCGCGCACAGATTTTTTTTTTTTCTTTTTTAATCTCTGGGAGACCCAAGAAGGTAATGTCAAGACACTAGGGGAGGAAAAACTCCAGTTATAAAGGCTGAATGCTTTTTATTCTACTGAAATCTCATCTGGCCTCTTGAAGTTCTTGGCACACTACATGGTTTCCCTACTGTTCTGGCAGCGTCTCAGCCATTTTTCTTCAATAAGCTTATACCTTTGAGCTCTAATCTTTTGTTAGTGCTCGGTATGGTACTGATTAAAATGTCTATAATGCAGAACTAAGCATGCCCATCAGTTTCTGTAATTAAAATATGCTAAAACATTGGAAAGGAAAATGTGCATATGCTTTCTTGTTATAGTGGAAAAAATGGATGTAGTATGAAGTAGAACTCTAAATTAGTTTAACTTTTCAAATATTTATCCAAATGAAAACATCTGATATGTATTCCATGTCCGGTGGCATTGTTTGGGGGGGGGTTTCCCCCTTGCCTTTATTGCGGAACATTGAAAGTAAACCCATGAGGTTCCTTTTTCCTAGGAGCTCTTGTATTCCATTTGTAAAAATCCCCTTTTAGCAAACTTCACTTGTCTTGCACGTTTAGTATGGGATTTTTTTTTTAAGTGTAATGGCTTTTCCCTTGACATCTGAACTAGCCAAGTGCACATTGTTGAAAATTAATTGGTGGCAGTCATTAGTTGTCTGTGGGTTCTGATGTAGCTTTATCAGATCTGACAGTTTCAAAAGGGCTTCTTTTAAAGCAGTCAGACTTGTCTTGAGCTACATTTCGAGGCAACTTGCCAGGAAAGTTGCCCTCACTGAGGGCTAATGGAAGCTTGTGCTATAAAACTGAGCTCTGTACATGCTTGTATAGATCTCTTTTGAAAAACATAGGGAGACCTAATGTTTTGGATGCCCATCCATGTTGTTTGCAGCATAATAAAACTGAATGCAACTTGAAACCATTAGGATTTTAGATGTCACTGACTGCATTGGCGCCTCTCTCTACCCGTATCACTTGTCCCTAGCTTCAGTTATCTTGACCATGGTTAGTCAACTTGGATTTAACATAATCTGTGGAACAAAGTGACTGCCCCTGCAGATCACCTGAATATTGATACTAGCCGTTGAAAGCTTATTACAACTTTCAGGCTTGCTGAGTTCCCTTTAATTTCATTTTGATGAAACTGACAGATAAAATCTCTTTTCTTTATGTCAGAGAAAAGCACTCTACTGATAGAATAGACTTTTTCCAGAGTTTCCTGACTAACTAATGTCATCTTCATGCTCTGTGGAGTGTGTAGTTTGAAAATATGAGCTTGTACTACTCTAGTATCACACAGATAAATAGACTTCTCAATAGTTTCTCAATTTCTCTATTTACTGAATCACAGTCCTACTGTGTATTACTTGTTTTTGCGCACTGTGGAGTTCTTTAGTGGTAAAATACTACAGCAGTGGTTACATTCTGTGGATCAGGTGTCCCCGAGATGTAATGAGCTGTTTCTATTCTGCACCACCACCAGTATAGAACTAGTGTCACCTGGGTTCATAATGAATTACCCATATTCTCAAGTTGTCCCTTTGAATAAACTGGAGTACCTGGATATGCTGCGTCTAGTTTTGTCCATAGAAAACCATTTGCACTGGAGAGTCTAAGAATTAGAGGTTGATAAAGTTTTTATAGAGAAAACAAATTTCAGCAAGACCCATTCTCTGGGTGTCACCAGTAGTGGCAGAGGTCAGTCCCAGAGACACCTGAACTGTATTTAGGAATTATTACCTATGAGTTGCTACTAAACTAAGAGTTAAAATTACAGTCTAGATTATGGTGACCCTTAATGCATCACTTCTATGGTACAGATAGCACACAAAAAGGAGGTTCCAGACACAGAATACTTGATCTGTCTGTGAATCTGAATCTCACAGATCATAAAATCATAGAGAAGTAGGTCTGGAAGAGACCTCCAGACATCTAGTTCAACCCCCTGCCTGAGGCAGGTTTGTTCCTATCCAAACCATCCAATACAATTCATAATCTAAACTCTACGTAAGTTTACCATCAAGCCTGACAAAACACAGACCTAACACCCTAACCTGCCACAGGTAAAGTAGGGGAACCATGGCAGCTAATGTCCTGCTTCTGTGAAATGTTGTTAATATATGCTCAAGAGATCCCAGGTAGAAGGCCATGCCCCTTGCTGCAGAGGA